GACAAGCCCGATAATAATGGCTGGACACCGCTCTCGTCTGCCGCTCAGAATGGACATGAGGGGGCTGTGAAAATCCTGCTGGAGCGGGAAGAAGTCAACCCCGATGGGCCAGGTGAGAATGGCCAGACACCTCTCTTGCTCGCCGCTGCTCGGGGACACGAGGGAGTGGTGAGAACATTACTCGAGAGGAAAGAGGTCAGCCCCGGCAATCCCGATAATAACGGCTGGGCGCCCCTCTCGTTTGCCGCTCAGGATGGACACGAGGGTGTGGTGAAAATGCTGCTGGAGCGGGAAGAGGTCAACCCCGACTGCCAGGGAAAGGCTGGCCAAACACCTCTCTTGCTCGCCGCTGCGAATGGACATGAGGGAGTGGTGAAAATACTACTCGAGCGGGAAGAGGTCAAGCCCGACAAGCCCGACAATAACGGCCAGACACCGCTCCTGTTTGCCGCTGCTAATGGACATGAGGGAGTGGTGAGAGCACTACTCGAGCGGGAAGAGGTCAACCCCGACAAGCCCGATAATAACGGCCGGACACCGCTCTCGTTAGCCTCTCAGAATGGATACGAGGGAGTATCGAAAACCCTACTGGAGCGGGAAGCCGCCAATCCTGACAGGCCAGATAACAGCCAAACACCCCTCACATTTGCCGCTGATCGTGAACATGAGGGAGCAGATAAAATACTACCGGAGCGTGAAGAGGCCAACCCCAACAAGCAGGATAACTACATCCAAACACCGCTCTCACATGCCGCTACCTCTAGACACGAGGGAGTAGTGAAAATACCACGCGGGCGGGGAGTGGCCAACCCCAAAAAGCCGGTTAGCAACTCCCGCACGCCCCTCTCGCATGCGGTTTGGAATAAACACAAAGGAGTGGTAAAAACTGCACTCAAGCGGGAAGGGGTCAACCCTGATAACCCGGATAATTATGACCAAAAACCGCTCTCTATTACCGCTTGGCTTCGGGGTCAGGCAGCGAAGTTGCTACGTCGGCGGGAAAAGGCCAGCCCAAACAAGCTAGTAAAGAACAGTCAAACACCGCTCTCATTTTCTGAGAGTTACGGCCATAGGAAGGCAGTAAGGCTGCTCCAGTCTCGCAAAGCGGTAGCCCCCAGTACCATCTGAGGCCTAGAAGAAATGCCGTCCTAAGCCGTTACCCCCCCTTGACTTTTTTTTGTATATGGAACTCTGGGAGGTTGCCTCATAGACATCATCCTTTATAGTCGGAGGGGCTCCCATTAGATGGGCATGTGCATATACTGTATGTCATTCTCACCCACTTGAACCACCCCAGGCGTTTGCTCTTACTATTAAGTAAGGGGGTAAGGCGATAGAAATTTCTATTCCACTATATCATCCACTAGAGTTCGGTTTGTTCAAGTTAGGAGACATCGCTCTATTGTTGCAGGAAGAGCCAATTCATAGCTCGCAATCTCCCATGCTAGCACATTTGCTTTTCCCCGTTGTAAATTCTTATTTGTTTCTTATCTTTTTGTTCTCTTTTCTTGTATAGATCCCTTTCATCCTGTTCTTCCTCCTTCGAAATATGAATGAACAATCGACAGAGTGCTGCTCAGATAGAGGAAATACAGGCAGCGTTCTCAACCGGCCAACCCGGCCCGCAGATAGCTTATAGATACACACTCCGCCCAGGCCAGGCCAAAGTGAAACTGACCTAGGCTTCGTAGGCCGGGCTTTCGCAAAGCCTGCTGGCGTTGTGGGTGTCTGGCGGCGCCAGCAGGCTTTCGGTACGTGCCGTGCAGTTAGTAACCATTTTTCAATGCGTAGCAGACCGCGGATACCTGAAGATGTCCGCAGATGCCTGAAGATACCCACAAATATCTGAAGATACCCAGAGGTGCCTGAAGATACCCACAGATACCTAAAGATGTTTTCAGATGCCTCAAGATACCCACGGATCCCTGAAGATACTCGCAGATATCTGATGATACCCAGACTTGTAGAGATATTAGCCGGTGGCCTCTATTACCATACAATATCTGAAATTACCTCCCACTAGATTAGGCCTAGGAAAGCATTGGAGGCAAATTAATATCACTCGGTATATTCCTAAATTGTACTGTAGATAAATCGCTTGCCTGTTAGAAATTATTTGATTGCCGAGTTGTTTCTTCTACCACTTCGACATCATCATGGAGCTCGAATTCTCCCAGAAACATTCATCCCAACCATTTTGCGACCGGAATTATCCTAATGATCCGGTTGAATACGACTATTTAACCAAGAATCTAAGCTCGGACTCCGGCTATGCACTCATATTTGCACCCCAGAGTCCTTCGAAACCGAATAGCTTTTGAAACCCGTTCGGTATAGACTGGGATAGTGTGTTGGTGAAAACCCCCAACCCCAGAAAACAATATATAACTGAAACGCATCAGAAATTATCCTTGAGATATCATAACATACCAATTCTAGTATCATAATGTATGATACGTGCAGAGGCTGTTGACGTATACACTAGTTCTGTTTGATCCATATTATTGGAACCCTGAAACCTACCGGAATGGAGGCAATCACTTTTAATCACTCGAAAGCATGTAGATATCTGCAGTCCGGCCGGGTCAGGCCCAAGCCTGGCCGGACTGGCCTCTTGCGAACACTAATCGAGCAGAACATCAGTTCCCCCCGTTGTGCAAGGCACTTATGATTTATCCAAGATACCGAACGTTTGGTGAGAGAAGTCATAACCTTATATGTAATTGTAGCAGTCATGTATACAATAGAAGAGATTCCGGAAAGTTGGGATGGAGGGCTCCATATATCCTAACTTGAAACCCCCAATGTTGCTCAGCCAGTATTTGTAGCTTCTACCAAAAGTTGATCTTGCATTGGAGGTCGCCATGGTTGCAGTTCATATGTCGGTCTGTTGAACTTATTTTGTGCCCGGCAAGTGGGGGACATTTTGGATGTTCGTTTCAATTCCAGAAGGTTTACGCATGGACTTAGGTACTAGTATGTGTGGTACCTCATCCTATAGTTCTCGTATAGCAGCTGCAAGTCTACTTTAATACCAATATATCTTTTTTCTCCATCTCTCAGAAATATCATAGGCCGACCATACTCAGGAGACCCTTCCCTGAAACAGCAGAGTGCAAAGAACTGAAGATGTCTCAGTATAGCATTAATGATAGTATTACTGATAATACAAACTCTTACCAGATGTGAAATAACAATGCTACCGCTGATGATCGAGCTCAGCCCCTGACCTGACTATTACCTCCACAACTCATGCTATGACGTAGGGACCTCCAAGAGTGCTGTGTCAACAATTTGGCCAAACACCTCTCACAAGCTGCGGAATTCATCATCTGGCCCGAGTGGAGTAGGGAAGGTGGAAATTCTAACTCAATTTATTTTTGTTATAGAGATCTGGGCGTGGATAAAATACTTATCAAATAACGAGGATTACCCCAGGGGAGGAGAAGAGACCTAGTACTAACAAGCCAGGATATCAGTTCACTGGCAATTCACAAGCCATGCAAACAGGGGAGAGGACAAAGCTCAACTATTGCGTTTTACTTTGACTTTATGGTGAGAAAGGAGCATTCCGCGGCGGGTATCTTGGGGTCCTTGCTAAAACAAGTCGTGGGTGGCATTTAAGGAATTCCGGAGCCGATATCATGGGCCTTTCACTACCGGTTTTGTATCCATCCAATCTTACAAGAACCGACAATCAATTGGTGACAAAAAAATCAGCGCAATTTAACAGATGAATTAAGACCAGGAGGTGCTTTCGGTGCAAGCCATAGAATGGATAAAGGAGGAGGATGGGGAAAATTAACATAACATAGGATAGCAGCATTGAGGTGGATCAGTAATCCAGGACGGCTTCTGCCGTGCCCTAGCTTTCAATCTAGACTCCATAGATTTCAATGCTAGCAATTCTCTTTCAATGTCGACATTAGCATGCTGCTGTTAAGAGCTAATTTCTGTTGATAAGGAGGGACTAGGTGTGCGATTGATTCACCTTACATTCGCTTTACATTCTGAATGAATCTTTCCCCCCATCCCGGTATATCCAGTAACCCTCACTTAGCAATGACTAAAATCTGCTTGACCTATCTGAGTTTCAATCAGGTTAAAGCCCTCTCCGCCTATCTCTATCCTGACACCCAAGAAAAACTCTTTCTAGGATATGGGTCTAAATACTAGGTGTCCATAGGTAAAGGAGACTGGAGCTTCAGGAGATCACCTGCGCTACCACTACTTCAGAAGCGAAATGACCACATATCCACCAAATCGCTTTTAGCGTGAGTACAGGATTCGGTTCTTGGGGGCTTCACTGCCTGTTCCCTATTCAGTGAACTGTATTGTGAGCCACCCCTCGGAACTGTTGAGGTCGTAGCTGCTCTGATAAATCCGGCATGCTATAACACCAACGAAGGAGATGTCTTGGAGCATACACCACTTGCATGGGCCACCCAGAACGAATATGAAAAAGCAGCGGAAATACCCCTAGGGGGTGAGGGATATATCACCCCCCGGCAAGTCAGGCCATGGCAGCCAAACACCACTCTCGCATGCTACTGCTTACGAGAATGGGGAGTGGTGAAAGTGCTACTTGAGCGGGAAACGGTCAAACCCGGTAAGCTAGATTCTAATGGCCAAACACCGCTCTCTCCAGTTGGTAGATATGGCCGTAATAGGGTGGCTGCGCTGCTCCATTCTCTCACAGCTGTAGCCTCCAGCACTATTTGAGGACTTAGAGCCACACCCCCGCGGAAATCACAGTCTTCCCTTTCCCTCCACAGCGTGTTACTCACCTTAGACACCACCCTTTGAAAACTAAGGAAACCTCATGAGATGGTAACTCACACATGTCTCCAAACCTACCCTAAACTCCCTAGGAACTTGCTTATGGTCGAGTCAGGCTTTACGAGTTTCTATGGCTAACGCAAGGCCCGACAAATTGAGGTGGAACCGCTCTACTACCCTACCTCCGGAACGCCTGCTTTGTGCTTGGCGTCTCCACCACATTTAACATATCTGGTTGAAAATTCCTGCTCGCATTCCTTCCTCCACTAACCCATAGACGGCCCGTATATAAAACCCCGTTCATATAGAGACAAAAGCGCGCAGTATAGGACAAAGATACCCAAAGTGATTATGCCAAACTATGTTCAATGCCCAAATCTATAATGGCAAGCCGACTACCAGAATTAGTATTACTTAATGAATAGCGTCATACCTCTCCAGCCTCTCCATATGTGAATTCGGGGGTCCCTAGTGAGCCTTCCGATAGTTGGTTGCCCATGTAGCTCCTTAGTCCACCCCGCCCGCCCTACGACCGATCCGATTTTGTATTTTGGATAGTGGGGATGCAGTAGGGTGTTTCATGGCCCAGGGCCCTCTTGCTAGGCCCGACTTGTGCGGATAACAAAGTTTGTACGTGTGAACCACAATGGTGAATTATTATTATTATTTTATTATTTTCATGCACGCCTTGGATCGATATGCAAAATGTGAGCAGGATTTGTCGTGCAGTATCAGACAGAGTCTCTGAACTACCCACCGTATCGCTCATTATGTCATTCGCAAAAACTGTGGCAACGGTTCTGTAGTGTAATGGCTAGCACCCGGGATTCTGATTCCCGTAATCTGGGTTCGACTCCCAGCAGGACCTAAGTTTTTTCGCCAACTCCCCCAAAGTCCTCATCCGCTTGGGACCCTCGCCTCCTTCTCCATTTGCTCCTCACCATGTCTCGCTACTGGGACACTGTAAAAACCACTATTATCACTATCTTACGGAGGTGCAGCTCTTAAGTTTTGTATGTTCCACAAGCAAGGGTGTTTGGCTACTCGAGTAGCTGTGGGTACTTACCGCGAATTGGGAAAGCTTGAGCCCAGATTAGGAAATTTTCACTGGAAATTTCCAAATTCGCCGCCAATACCCGCGCTGGCCCAGCACCCCTTGCTTGTAGAACATACGGTGCTGTACCTCCGTACAGCAGGAAAACACCATCACACCAAATCACTCGCTGATCCCAACCACCCCGTTCTTGACCATCATGTTCTTACTCCAATGCCTCCCAGCAACAAAGCCGCTCCTGACCACCTTTGCCCTCTCACCGGAATCCCACCGAACAACCACTCCCTCAACAACCTCTTCCCCAAACGTGCTCTTGCGGTCTAAAAACTTCAACAACTCCCCTTCGTCTAGCACGCCCCCCTCCCACAGAATCGGCACAGCATGGATCCCACTCCCAGAAAGCACGCCCCTCAAAATCCCGGGCGTGGCAAACCTATCCTCGAGGCGATCATACAGATCGAACGCCAGGAAGACGTCCGGGAGCGTGGTGTAGGGCACAGTGTGCAGCGCAGCAGCCCACTCCCCGAACAGAATAAACCTCTCGGGGAGCGTGGGGTCACGATGCAACACGGAGATCAAGGCAGGGCCATGCGAGCCCAGCCACCGATCCAGTTGCGCGAACTGGGCAGCTTCACTCGAGCTCACATAGTGGGAGCGATTCTGCACGAGTACGGATAGATCGGATGAGAGCGAGAAGCCAAGATTTGCCCCGTCAATCTTCTCCTCGATGGTCACGCTGCGGGAGAAGTACCTAGGCAAGTCGGTCTCTGGGATGATGAGGTCGTCGCGGGTCGCGCCGCCGAGGTTGAGTAGATGCCTGGTCCTGGGGAACTTCCTCATGGATAGCGGCCCGAGGAGCCTATCCGCTAGCTCCCTGGCGGAGGGTATTGATGTGACCCTCGCGATGCCGGAGTATCCCTCCGCCAGGGTGGGCACTTGCATAGCGGCCCGCATGCTAGCTATCGCCATCTCGGCACGGTGGGGCGGCAGCGTGGGATGCGATTCGCGGTTTTCCGCCCGCGATCGGCACAGCTCGGGTGGGTAATCGAGGAACACGGCTACCACCTTCCCCCCCGCCGTGAATACTTTCACCCAAGACTCCCGCTCAGAGGAGGTAGGATTACACCGGTCCAGCAGTAGGACCTTCCTATGGCCGCCCGAAACAGTCCCCCTCTTGAATGCGCCGATGGCGCACTCGCAAACGTTCCGTGCGGAAGCGCTGCTCATGGTTGAGGGCGATTCCTGGGTTATGGCGTCCGGGGAGAGCACCGTTAATGCGGGATTGCGCAATCTGCACAGACGCGTGAACTCGGACTTACCAGCCCCTGGGAGGCCGATTAGCAAGATCATGTCCGGGTCTATTATGTCGCCGGTTATTTTGAGCGCTCCTGAGGAAGGCTCGGGGACTAGCCCGCCATCGCCGATGAGGGGTTCTCCACGCCCGTAGCGCTTCCATGCTGTGGAGATGTAAGTTTCTATGAACTTTTCCTGGCGGTCGGTTTCTACGCTTCCGTTTCGGAGGGTGCGAAGGAGGGCTATTGCTTGCTTCGCCGAGAACTTTGGCGGGGCTTTCGCGGATGTGAGTCTCGGTGGGGTGAACCCGAATAGTGCTAGATAGCAGGCGAGGACTGTTCCCGCTCGACCTTTTCCACCGCCGCAGTGGACCAGTGTTGCGCCTGGGGAGTCGGGGTTCTGGAATGGCTCCTCAAGGATTATGCGTAGCGCTCTGTCGGTCTGCTGGGTCGTTGGGGGGTAGTAGTTTTCCACCGGTATCAGGGTATTACGGATACGCACGTTAAACCAGCTCTTCGCCAGCGGAGTTTCGGAGGTTAGTGTTACTACGTGGGTGATTCCCATACTCGAGAGGTGCCGGATGTCCTCCTCTGAGCGCGGGCTCGACATACCAGCTACGGCAAAGGGCACGAGCCAGGAAAAGAATCTGGGAAGCTGCGGTAATTCTGGGCCAGGAGGGATGCGGTAGCGGATTCTCGTGGTGGCCGCAGACCCCGGCTGTACTTCCGGGAGTTCCAGGCCGGAGGTGGGGGACCAGGGCTGGAGGAGGCTATCTTTCACTTGGCTTGAGGAAAGAACAGCAGATATCCGGCCCAATTCATCCTCCGTCAAGAATGGCCCGAATTCAGTGTGTTCGCCGCAAGAGACAATCTTCCTCAGGTAATATTCCCTCCTCTTCCCCGCCGCCCCGTCGAGCGGGGACGAGCGCGTGAACGCAGTGTAGTAACTCAACATCGCCATTTTCCACCAGGCATTCTTGTACGCCAAATCAGCGAGTCTCAGATACCCGCGCTCGGACTCCGGGTGAGAAGTTATGATGTACTCCGCCCATCCCAGCTGCGACGCAACCTCCTCGATACGAATATGAGAGGATAAGCATAATTGATCCAAAACCTCAACACCCAACCCCTTCGGAACCGACACCCCATTGACAAAGTCGCTTCCTTCAACCTCCCCTGCGGCGATCGAGTAAATCGACTTGTCGATACCATGCTCGTCCTTCGCGCTAAGGGTGATGTGAAAATCCTTCACCGGAAGTCGGTGCTTTACCCGCCAGGTGTTTCCAGCAGTCCATAACACCGGTATGAAAGTCACCCCGGAATGGTTCGATACGCCAAGGGGATATATCTTTGAAGTGTCAATCTCTGATAACGTTGCTAAGGCGTCGTCTGGGAGCGCTCTACGCTCGGACTTTATGACAAGCGTGATGTGGGGGGGCTGCGGATTCTTTTGGATTTTGCTCTCGGCGTGGAAGAGGTCTGACAGGTGGGTTATTGAGGGTGAAGTCAGCATCGTCACGCCGCGGATGTTGGTTGGGGTGGGGACCAATCGGAGAGGTGTGAAGAGGTGGGGGGCGAGTGATGAAGCCATGATCCCAGGGTGCCGTTAGGTAACCACGCGAGAATATGGATGCCGGTGGACTAATTGAGGGCCCCGTGGAATGTGTTCCTGGAAGGAAGTTTACCTCTTTGGCCTTTTATATCCGCAAAATTGAATGACTCCGGAAGGATATATGACTCATCATCTACTGGGCAGAATCACACTCACTAGCGCACCTAGCAGTCCAAGTTTCAAGTAGGGCGATGTTGTTCGGAGGCTCGGAAAACGAGCCGAGTCAAGTACGGGTAAGTCACTAACGGCCCTACCCGCCGAGCGCTACGACCCCGCGCGCGCCACAGTGAAGAGTAGAAATACTATCATAGGCAAGAGTACCGTACCATAGTAACCATACCGAGTGCTATTTTATGCCCCTGAAGCATTTACAGCCTCCTGGTTAGGTCCCCAGCCCCCGGTTGAGGCTCTGCTGTTGTCCGCATCGAAGATACCTCGTTTAAATCGGCGATCAATAAATGGCCAAGCCAGTGTAGCACCGGCACTGGTAAGCCTTGCTGAGAAAGGCATTCCCTGTGTAAAAGCACTCGAGCAGTTCAACGGAGACGAAAATGCCAAACTTGGGTCCCGCACGCGATCCAGAGGGAGCTCCGTTACCCCAGAATTATGTTTGGGCTGATGTGAGCGACCGCCGCCAGCCGTCACTGGTCAAAAACTTTGTTCGTAACCTTAACATGTCATGTGCGAGGGGCAAAAAGTAAAAAAAAAAAAAGATGTCAAATGCAGGGTTCGTTAATTTATGCGTGAAGTTACTGCGCAGTTATTATTCTTTATGTTGGCGTCACAATATTCCAACCCCGGTAGAGGCGAGCCGTGATGCGGGAGAAGAGAGGGAGAAAAGACCCGGAGAAATAAGAAAATGAAAAAAAAGGAAGGAAGGAACCATTCTGCTTAAAACCAGGGTGAATCTCTTTTGTTTTTCCCTCCTCCCTCCCCCCTCCCTCCCCCCACCACAACTCCGCCTGACACAACTCCCCTCCTTCGAAGACCACGGTGAAGGACCGTCCATTCCAGCTGGCACACCCCTCCTTATGAACAACCCCACATAATCAAGGGTCTGCCTACCTCTTCTCTCCTCGTACACCTTCCTCTTCTTTCCCTCCTCCCCCCTCTCCCTCCCTCTCCCCCGGCGATGTCCAGTCCAAGCAAACCCGGGAGATCCCACCACAACGATCCAAACCCATTGACCCGGCTGCTTCGCGATTCCGAAGGGGGTACTGATCATGGTACCTTCACCTCCCAGCACTTCCTCGACTCTCGTCCAGGCTCCCCTCGCGTCGTCCCCGTGACCACAGGATTGGAACCCACTGACTCGATACGCTCAGGTCTATCCGGGCGCGGGACCTTCCTCAAACGAGCCACGGCGACGGCAGAGCTGGCAGAGAACGCGGGGGTCAAGAGGCCATGGCTCATGTACTTGAGTTACTACGTCCCCTGTGTCGGCTGGGTCGGCAGGTACAAGTGGAGTTTCTTGCTAGGAGATGTCGTTGCCGGAGGTCTGCTCCCCCAGTCTTTTATTCGTTCTTTCTTATTTATCTTTCTAGTCCTATTATTTATCCTTATTTTCATTTTTTACCCCTTCACGGGTAAGTTAGCGGCTAACGAGGGGTATCGCAACAGTGACTATGGCTTCGTTCTACATCCCGATGGCACTCTCGCTCTCGGCGAACCTGGCGCATTTACCGCCTATCCATGGGTTGTATGCGTTCGCCATTCAGCCGTTGGTACAGGAACCCGAGCCTCTTGCTTGCGCGATGCAGCTAACCGGGCCCAGGTTTACTCGCTTCTCGGAACTTGTCCCACTATGGCCGTTGGTCCTGAGGCTGCAGGGTCACTCCTCTTAGGCTCGGCAATTAGGCTGACGAACGAGCATCATGGATCCCCATTCGACGATCACGACGGGGATGATTTTCAGAATGCGAGACTTGCGGTATGTGTGAACACGGCGCGGTTCGTGCATGGCGATGCACTGACGGAGCGGTAGGGGCTTATTACTGCCATGACCGGATTAATTGCGTTCGTAGCCGGCTTCGTCCGACTAGGCTTCTTGGACAGTGTCCTTAGCCGGCCGCTGTTGCGAGGCTTTATCTCCGCTGTTGGATTTGTCATCTTCGTGGACCAGTTGATTGTATGTCCCCCCTCCCCCCGACTTCAACCCTACGGGTGCTAACCAGCGGATAGCCAGAAGCAGGCCTGATCAACCTCGCCAAGGAGCATGGCATCACCCACGCCAGCACATTCGCAAAAGCAGTCTGGTTGATAAAGAACTTCAAAAACGCCCACGGCCTAACCTTCGCCGTGGCCGCCGTATCCTTCAGCATAATCATAATCGGCCGTCACATGAAGAAGAGGCTAGCGAAGCGAGCACCGTACATCGTCTTTCTCCCGGACCGCTTCCTCGTCGTGGTGCTCTCGGCGGTCTTCACATACGTGCTCCGCTGGAATCAGCAGGGACTCGAGATCCTCGGGAATGTGGAGACATCCTCCGGCGGTGTTTTCCGGTTCCATTTTCCATTCCAGTTGCAGCATGTCACCAAGCTTAGAGAAACCCTATCAACGGCATTCCTGATATCCGTGTTGGGATTCTTTGAGTCCGTTGTAGCTGCCAAGAGTCTGGGAACAACGCTCGACATCAACATCTCCTCAAATAGAGAGCTCATAGCCCTAGGCACAGCAAATATGCTAGGCGGGTGCTTTCAGGCCCTCCCAGCATTTGGTGGGTACGGTCGCAGTAAAGTCAACAAAGCGACCGGGGGCAGAACACCAGTTAGCAGCGTGGTCCTCAGCACACTCACAATCCTCTGCGTCTACTTTGTCCTTCCATACTTCTACTACCTCCCCGTAAGTCCCCCCCCCCCTCTCATCCCTACCCACAAAAACTGACTATACCGCAGCGCTGCGTCCTCTGCGCCATGATCTCAGTAGTAGCCGTAACCCTCCTAGAAGAAGCCCCGGAGGACATCTCCTTCTTCTACCGCATCCACGCATACGCCGACCTAGCAACAATGCTACTAGTCTTCCTAACCACAATAATCTGGTCCCTAGAAACCGGCATCGCGATCGGCGTCGGCATCTCGCTGATCCAGGTGATCCGCAACAGCACACACGCGCGCATCGAGATCCTCGGTCGCGTGCCCGGGACAGACACCTTCAAGTCCGCGGAGGAAGTCCCCGCCTCAGAGCTGGAAGAGGTGGAAGGCTGCCTGATCGTGAAGATGACGGAAGCGCTAACGTTCGCCAACACCGGCGAACTGAAGAACCGTCTGCGAAGGCTTGAGCGCTACGGCGACGCGCGCGCGCACCCCTCGCTACCCAGACTCCGGGGCCGGGGCACTGTCGGAGGGGGCGGTGGCACGGACAATGTGATCTTCGACGTGAAGGGCGTGAAGCGCATGGACGGCAGCGGCACGCAGGTGCTCCGCGAGATAGTGGACGGGTACGTGAAGCGGGGCGTCGCCGTGTGGTTCTCCCGAGCGCCCAAGGTGAATTCCCGCCTTTGGATGGGCTTCGCTGAGAGCGGGATTATGGAGAGGGTTGGTGGCACGGAACACTTTGTCGCGAGTATCGATGAGGCCCTAAGGCTTACGGAGGGGAGCAGAGGGACCAGCCGTGCCGGGGATGTTTAATGTACAGGGGGGCGGGGGAGTGTACTATATATATCGATATATATTTAAGTTATATACTTTCCGTGGGAACGAGAATCTACGATTTATTTCTTTTTGGGTTTTCTTAGTCACGATGATTTCGGCGCCCGAGTTCATTTCTAATCACCATCTACCCAAACCCAGGAGCCCAACCTTGCACAACCCGGTTTCGTAGTGTATCATATCATACCGCCATCATAGCACCTAGGGTCCCGATCCCCATATCATATCACAATCCGCAAGACCTTTTTCCATCCATTCCACCCCACACAGCTGTCCCTGGAGTACAATAGGTTATGATAGCCATAGTTTCTTTATCCCCCCTTCCCTCCGCCCTCCGTTCCAAAAAATCCGGGACGCCAATAAGGTATCTCTTTTATTTATCCATTTATCAATTTATTTCAAAAACCCCCCTCCCCCCCCAAAATACCATTCCTACGGGTAGTAAATTAGTTCTGTGATCACACACTGTCACTCGGAGTTTGCGCATAATAGGATTATCTGGCTCGGGGGTGATCTCTGGCCCTTTCCGGTAGGTCTCTTTTAATGTCAAGACCGGGTTATGCCACCCACACCTCATGGCATACCAGTATAAACCCGACAAGATTAATATATCCCAGGGCAGACGACACACACTCTCCCTCTACCCCTCTCTGCATTAGTGCCGAGGTTGCACCATGCTCCGTTTATTGCCAGAATGCCGATATGTCATACGGTATCTTCACGTGCTACTAACTGGACCACCCAAGTCATTTTCCAATGCAAATTTTATTCTCCAGGCGGTAGTGTATATTTGGTGAATGGCTGGATGTAAAAAACGGAAAAAAGAGATGAGAAGAGAAGGGGTTACAAAGATTCCAAAAGCCAGTTGCCGAAGATTTGGTACCCGAAAAGAAGAGAAGAGAATATGAAATCAAGATCGGAGGCCAAGGAGGAGAATGTAGGTGTTTAATCCCGCAAGGTACACCCGTCCACCCATCTCCCCCCCCCACTCCCAGCCCACCGCCGCCCTTTCGTACTGTTGGCAGAGCAGCTTATTTTCCCTTTGGAGGATATTTCTTAAACAGATAGCTAATTACCATTAGCCTTTATCCCGCAATCACCCCTTTAGCCACAAGGCGGATATCCCATACCTGGACACAAAATAATCCGCAGTCCCGAATGCCGCCAACCCCGCTGTCCAAAATCCCACAAGCTTCCACGTGAGCGCTCCTGCCTGACGCTTCTTAAACGCCCCAATAACCAACAATACCAACGCACCCGCAACGCTAATAGCATTGATAGCGACGACGGGGTTCCCGAAATGTTCTACCCCCTGCTTCTTATCCTTCTTTGCCTTTTCTCCTTGTTCGTGGGCTATCGCTTCCTCTTCTATAGCCACGCTCTCGGCATCTTGGGCATCCCTTTCGAGCTCTATCCTGGCTCGGGCTCCCGCTTCGACCTATAGGGCTTTGCTTAGTATGGGGGATCAGGGGAAAGAGGGTGGGAAGTGGGAGTTACTCCTTGCTCCGAGAATTCGGAAGGAGCAGGGACGCCAGAATCAACATCTACGAGGGATCCGACGGATGATTCGGTAGGGATAACTTCGTCGACGGGGTTGGCATGCCTATTATTTGTCAGCATTTTATAAATGCGGTTTGCCTCTTCCTAGGATTTTATAGAAATCCGGGAGATAACGTACGCCTATGTGGAGCAAAATAAAAACACATCCGTCAGTCTATCAAAACCTTCAATGCTTGTTGGGGAAAAAACGGTTTGATGAAAAAATCATGATCACACCTCTTCCTCAGACTGCGGAGGCCCACTAGCGGCAACCTCTGCCCAAGAGGCAGACCCATCGAAACTAGACATGATGGTGATGATGAGCAGTAGATGGCGGCCCGTATTCCACTACGAGGCTGTAGAGAACAGAAGGAGTGATTGATGGAAGGATAGAAGGGGGGGAAGTGAGAGAGGATGATGGGGGAAAGGTGAAAGAAAGAGATGGAGTTTTTACCCAACGGAGGGGTGATTGCGGTGGAACAAGGAGATTTGAATTTTGTATGATAGGCGAAAAATGGGTTTGAGCTAAGGGCGGATTGTCGTTCACTGGTTACGTGCTTGAACCTCCCTGTTGGTGACGCTTGGCTGCGTTGACGTCACGCTACCCGGTTGGGGGATCACAAGTTACAGTGACAGTCGATTTGTGGAACCCCAATCATCCCAAGCACTCGTACTGCTATCGCCGAATCACACTAGTGCCCTATCATACGCTGATCGTAGGGCATGATATGTCGAAAGATGATTATCGGACAGTAGATGCTCCTGACCTATCATGTGTTATTATATCACCAGATCTATCCGCACAATCTCCCAGAAAGGGTTCAGCAAGGGATATCCACGAGCGCACTGCCCAAGCACCGTGGCAATATTGAGTCGTTAATACATCTTCAACCCTTGCCCTCCCCCTCCCCTCCGCCACCTCCATGCATATCTACACAAGCAGGAAATCTAATTACTTTTGTTTTCCATCTACCATTCCCAACCCAGATATCCCTCCCCACCCCCAAAATGAAGATTGCACAAGTGACAGTAAGGAAAACCTATACGTGTTTTAGGAAAGGAAAAGAAGAAATGAATGGAGAACGTAGAAATAGAGGGGGATTCCTCTATACATATCCAGCCGGCTGCGGACGAGAAGGAAATAAATCTAGTCCCTACTGTGTTCGAATAGTACTATTTCCCGCTATTGACTCCCTCCTTGTGTTTTTCCGCCGCCCCATCTTCCTTTGACTTGCCTCCAACAGGCCCGCCATCCGGCTTGGCTGTCTCGGGATCCACATGAGTGCTAGAGGAAACTTTTGGGGGTGTGGCTGGAGAGCCCGTCTCCCCGGGATTTTGGGGGTCGAGGACTTCTAATGGCTCTTCCCCACTCGCACCTTCGGGAAGTTCCCCGTCATCTTCTTCTTCGGTATCGTAGAGCTCAGGATACTAAAGAAATAAAATAAGTCAGAGAAAAGACCCCAAGTCAGCCCATGAAGGAACAGTTCACCTTTTGGAAACAAGCTTGCATATCCCTAACAACCTGGTCAGATAGATTTTCGACACTCATAAGACGAGAGCCGGCTCACTTGAACTTTTCAATACAATCCACACCCTTAGGATCTTCCTTCGAGAAAACGAAACAACTAAAAGCAGTTTTGAACTCTTCCCCACTAAGCCCCAACAATCAGCATCCCTCCCAACACCTACTCATTGCAATCAAAGCCACCCGGACTCACCAAGGACCATGAGCCATCCCACCAAGACAAGGGCAATCCCAATTAATCTCTCCAGTCTCAGGATTAAAGGCCCCCTCCTGTCCCGCCTCAGCCTCCAAATCCTCTGGGCTTCCAGACCCCGGCGCCGGCTCGGCTCTCTCAACAACCCCCCTATCCGATTCTCCTTGAGCCCCACCCGTGGCGTCCGACCCCTGCAGTCTCTCCAATTTCCCTCCCTTCTCAGGTAATAACGACTTTGGACGGTCCTGGTCTTCGGACGATAAAGTCCTCAGCTCATCCTGGACGACTAACGCCCGGTCAGAGCCAATCCAATTTAATAAGCAAAAACGAATCGAGGAAACAGACATTTAGGCTCATCAGCAAAAACATTAGAAGTAGTATACGCGTAAACCAAACCACCCGCCACAGCCCACCTCACGACAAACGACCTGAAGCTCGACCGCCTCCGCGTCGGGGCGGCAGTGAAGAGCGACCTATTATTTCGCAGCAATGGTGGGACTGTAGGGCGCACAGGTGTCGAGAGGATCTGGCGGCTCAGAAGCGACCGACTGACGGGTCTGAGTACCGACATTTGATTAACCGTAGCCGTGAGGAAGGATTATGAAATTTGGATCAACCGAGAGGAAAAGAGGAAATATGAAAAGTTCCGGACCCTCGACAATCTATTTGTGGCGGATTTCTAAGCAGTTGGGCGATAAGATTTTAAAGATGATCAGAAGCTGTAGAGATAAGATTAGATAAGATTGATCGCCCTACCGAGATGGCGTCGCTTTTGCACCGGTGATCCGTGACATCATTTAGCGCTTGGGAGCCGCTAGCCTCCAGCGCTTGCCCTATCTTCCCGTCTCATCCACTATCTCCGCCAAACCTCTAATCTCCGAACCCAGAGACAAAAAGCCCAAGGAAGGTTCAGTTCGAGAGGTTATCACAAGAGAATTGCGAATAAGTTACAAGTCAATGGGGCACAGTAAAACACTATGCCTTCTTGGAGGCTTTCGTCCCCGAGTTCGGAGACCAGCGGCAGTGGATCGGACGAGAAGACACCGTACCCCAGTTCAATTAAATTTATATCTCGAAGCCAAGATTTTTTTTCTTATGATACAATACAGCATCGTACCGTACTCGAGTACAAGTGCGGCACGTTGATTGTCCCACCCCGCTCAATTGCTTCATCACTCAACAAACACCCCCGGTGGACCTATCACATCTAGAGAGCGGATCGTTTCGTTTCGACTGTTTCGATAAACGAATCAAGCCATGGGCGCCGAGCAATCCACGGAAACAACCATCTGGACACCAGGGGACTTTCTCGACCCATCAGGTGATGAGGATAGCCAACCTTTCGCATTATTAATCCTCAACCAGGATATCACGAACCTAAAGCTATTCGAGACACTCTACAAAAACAGTAATCCTCCCCTTCGCAATATCCTTGACCAGGCAGTCATTCAGCCAATTGGATAGCGCTAACCTGCCAAATTCCCCCCCCCCCCCAGGTAAACTAGTGATCTGTGCTGACGGCGGTGCAAACCGTCTCTACGACGCCTACACTACCGAAGAAGACCGTTTCTCCCATGTTTGACCTCTCTCCCTCCCTTCCTTCCCCCCGTACTCCCCAATTAACACAACCCTAGGCCCCAACCTGCATAGCCGGTGACTTTGACTCCCTAAGACCCGAGGTGCAATCATATTACTCCGCCCTCGGCGTCGAAATCCTCAAAGTGGCCGACCAGGACTCGACAGACTTTGAGAAATGCCTATCCTGGATCTCCGAGCAGGCGAAGGACTTCCCGCCAATCCTGAATCTACCCGAAGGATACGGGACTGTAGAAGAAGAGGTAGAAAGCGGCAGCGAGGTTAGGATCTCGGGAATGCAGCCCGAAATCACCGTGCTCGCCTTAGGAGGGTTCGGCGGGAGGGTTGATCATTCTTTCCATTCCGTATTATATTGCCCCCCCCTCCGCTGGCCCTTTTCAGTGAGTGAATGTCACTAACGCCGGGGGTGGGGGAGGTAGATTAACATACTCTATACGACTATGCATACACATACCGTATACCTGATCTCCCCAGAGAACATCACGTTCCTACTACCCGTGGGGTATAATACTATACACACCCCACATAGCGTCTTCGGGCCCACCTGTGGCATTCTTCCCGTTGGGCGTGCGTCCGTCCTGACCACCTCGGGATTGGTATGGGACTTGCACGGACAGGAGAGCAAGTTCGGCGGACTTGTTAGCACAAGCAACCACCTGAAAAGCGAAGTGATTCACGTGCACCTCGAGGACGCGCCAGTGGTGTTTACATTAGAGCTTAGGCAGCAGGAGGCTAGAGTTGTTTAGAATTTTCACCTTTTTTCTCTCTTTCTTCCCTTCGCTTGGCCTGGCTTGGTTTTTCTTGATTTCGGAATCGGTAAGGCGGATGGGTGAATGGATGGCGCTTGTATAAGCAGAACATTTTGATGATGGGAACGAGAAATTGACCCTCCCTCCATTGCCGAAACAGCGTCACGGTAAATCACTCGGGAGACAACCCCTAATTCCAGAGGTATCCCGAAAATATATATCATACTCATGACGCCCGATCCGAAATTCGCATATACCATACCGGCAACCCCCTAACTAGATCCTCATATGACACAAACCAACTCCCCACCCACTCCAGACCCAGTGGCTAAAAAAAACTCTGGATTGAGACTTTCATCACGATCATGCCTGAACAGCTACTTGTCACTCGCACAATCAGTTGATGAAAGAAGGAAAGAAAAATTTAGATGCACCCATCCACCACACAAGCCGATCTTCAAGCCCCAACAATCCGGCCCATGGCAGCAAAACCACCACCACACAAAAGCGAACACGACACAACAACCACCACCACCAAGAGCCAAGCTCCCGCGAGCGAATTTTTCACCCAGGGGGTGCCAACAACTCACTCTGCCGCAGAATAGAAAGCCCAACCTGCGAAGGGACAGGACAGAATATCCATGATCCAACGAAGGTAACACAACAGATCGATTACAACCCCAATATTGATACCTGGCGCGCTCCGTGCGTAGCCTCAGCGAGATTCTTTGTAGCCACCCCCTCCCACACTTCCCCTTGGTCGTGTGGCCGTTTGTGAGGATGATCTAACTTTAATGAGCCTCGCGTCGTATGGTTGCTCTGAGCTTCTCTCCTGGGTTTTTTGTCTTGCCCCCCTACTCTTCCAATGTTGGTGCTGGCAACACGGGTCTCAGTTACCCTAAGGGCCGGATCGCGGTGTTGAGTCACTCCCGACGATGTGCTCAAGGCAACGGGCCGGTGTTCAATGGGCATACGCAAGAGTATCTCTTCAGCTATATTAGGTCCAACCAATAGCAGGAAGGGGGGGAGGAGGGCATAGAGAGGATATTAAGAGGAGTGTTACGGTTCATTCCGCATATAGGCCGGGGTGGTAATTATCGCTCCACCTTCCAGAGCTAATTATTCTCCGCACAATAAGGACAGGTGCCGGGAATAAAAACAACTATGTGCAACACCAATATCCTCGGGTGCCCCCACGAAGTTATACTGCACCTCGACCCAAAACAATAGGAGTCTCCTTGATAAGAGTATTGGTAGTTAGGTATCCATGAAGCAGTGCCAGAGATACAGAGTGGACCTTGACCCCTTTGCCTAATAATAATGTCCAAAGCTAGACTAACAATACCCCATGAGAAATCCAAACCAACTACCTACACCAATTCAGGATTACCAAGACCTCCCGGAACCCTCCGAACAGTTGTGGAAGCTGACTGCGCACTCCCAGTCCATTCGCTGCTCGAAAGTCTGGTGACCGCAGTGGCTTGAGGCCCAAATTCTCCACCCTGCTGACGGGGTTGGTGAAGCCTCCCGCCGGGCAATTTCGCAACCGGAGCTAACTTCCCCAACTTCGTAATGAGAAAGATGTCGATGATGAATTGCGTAATGTATAGTACCCTGATACAAACCATATAGATTGTTTCGTTAGTTAAATAGTGGTGGAGAACCACGGTTTCCATAATTACTTGCCCAATAAGCCAGCCCAAACCAACAACTACCTTGACACCACCTCCATGTGGGGGGCGCCGTGGGGCCCGCAAGACTTTCAATTTCACTTGACTAGACAGCAATTCCAGTTCTTGAGACCAAAACAGCGGCACAACCCCGATAGCGATATATCCCAAGGAGAATATGAAGTCTATACTAGCAATAAATCTAAGGAAGCCAAGGGTATCAGGGTTTCGAGCTTCAAAAGCCGTTGTAAAACCGGAGGCGCTCGAACTCACCTGTAGATAGAAACCCCACTAGGCTCCAGTTGGTGTGCAATGACCCAAAGAGTTTGTCCGGCCGAAAGGCTGACCTGTCACCAATCACTTGTCAACAAATATCAATTGAGCCGATAATCCAACAAACTCACAACAACAACAATCAACCCAAAAACAGCACGATCAATAACATATATGTGGTTAGGATACTCATCCTTTCCCCCAAACCCCGGGGAATCCCCGTACCCAATCCTGCTAGATTGCCATCTATCCCCCGAACAATTATATCTCGTGTCATTGCATGAGTACTTCACACAACCGGGTTCTGAATCCCTTGTCCAAACGAACGAGCTGATGATAGTATTCCCAGACTGTGAGAGATTCCGATCGTGCACCACTGTCCAGGAGGTAAGGTTACGATAGACGGTAACCTCGAAAGGGGCAGAAGCGTTCTTATCCCAAACAAGGACGTCGTGATATACGCCGGGGCTCCCAGTAGCGTATGCAAGTGAGAGGGCAGCCATGAGAGCTAACTGGACGAAACGGATGACCGTGGCAGCGATGCTGAGGGAAGTGACGACCTTTGCGAGTCTTCTCACGTACTTGTAGGCCCATTCCGAGAATTCCTCAGTTGTTCTGAAGGCAGGTGGCCTCCAGCCAGCCATTATAAAATAAGTATGATAGGAGTGCAGCTAGGGGGATTTCCTCGGAGAGTGTGAAAGCAGAAGGATGGTTTGGCATAGTGTTAAAGCGAACCAATTTTATGGAGGTGGCCATTAACTTATACGCAGATACCCCATCTATGATGGCCCACCAATGTTAGGGCAGTAACGCGTACATTCTTGCATCTTCCACGTCTACCTCTTGGATTCAGCGTAAATCTCCTCACCTCTACCCTACACATTCCTACAGGGCACTTAGGCAGCAAGAAAAGTTGGCCAAGAAGGGTGTTCCCAGACGCAACACACAATATCACCCTTAATTGAGCTGCCTCACAATCAATCTTCTCTAGCGGAGTTGCGTCACCGCAGCTACTCCCCAGTTAGCAATCTCGCATCCTTTCCCAGTGCTCTGGCCTACCTCCCTTCATTTCCTCTAGAAGCCACCCAATGGCCCTCTGGGCATGGGCATCAAGCATGAAGAAGCTCTGGAGGAATCCTTAAACAAGCTGCTTTCCCCTAACACTAATTACACCCATCTAACCCGGTATTCTAGCACTCGCCCCACCCCCAGCAAACCCACCGGACAAACATTCGTTCTCGCACTACCCCCAACAGCCAAGCACTACCGGGTATGCCTCTTCCCTACAACGACTGTTCAACTTGATTACCAACAGCTACAGATTTGTTCGTCTGCCCACAGCTCTTCCGATAGGCCAAACAACCCAACCTCTAGCAGCCAGATATCCCTCTTCAAAAAAAATTGTCTTTTCTCAAAAAAAGGACTCCCGAGCCCCGCCGCCCGGGATGCCGCCATGGCGAGTCCTCTGTAGGAGCACCCGAGTGGGGAAATCAAATGCGCATGTCATTGACACCTCCTTCCATACACACCGCCAACCACACCACACCACCGTACCATACCACCTAAAGTCATAAATTCCAACACCACTTCAGTCTATCCAGTAACAGAGGCCAAGAGAAGGAGTAGAAGAGCTTTACTCCAGACACAGGTAGTGAATATCAAGACCGCGCGAAGACACATATACAAGGGGCCCAATCCGTCTAACCCCGAGAGGAGGTCAGTAGAGAGTTGAACTCGATAGCGCGGCACGGCCGAGTATGTCCTCCTATCCCTCAACCCCCTCAACTCCCTCATGTCACTAATACAGAGGGTGAGCTTCAGGATACCCGGTAAGCACATTTGCGGTACGCAGGGAAATACCACGAGCTATTGGCCACCGCGATACAAGACTTCAGTACATGATCACCCCTAAGTGAACGGTTTGTGCTGTGTTTTGCTACCAAGAGCATGGGAATAAAGGGAAACATAACTAGGACTCTCAGGGGCCCACAAAGAGGGTGGATGACCCGAATTGTAGGAAAGTACTGGGGCACCCTATCCCCATTCCCCTGAGGCATATTGAAATATCAACAACCGATAAAACCCTAGACCAATATAAGCAGAGGGGTAAATATAGCGGGAGGTGAAGCTAACAGTTCCCCACACTAAACCGTAGTCTACCGTAGCTGATCAGAGAAGTTGTACCATGAGGATTCTATTTCACCCTATTCTATCTAAGCCCATTTATGGGCAAGAGGACATTGTGTGAGACCCATGAAAGTGCCCCAGTGAGGTATGGATGCTCCCAAACGACATACGCGCACATGTATCCTACCACTCCCACAGTGCACTACGCCCTTGTCAGAGCTACGAGTCCGAAGATGTTAGCTCAACAGGTGACTACAAGACCGAAAGCACGGCCTCCCCCGCCAGAGATAGCTTGATAGCAAGACACAGAATCCCAAGCCCCTCCACTATATCAAAATAGGTGTATCACAGACGCATCCAAGCCGCCACACATTGAACAGGAGGACATGAATGGTTACCGAGCGATGACAGATGATAGGTTTGTTATTCTTACCTCCCGGGAGAAGATCGTTTGCACTTTTGGCTTATAACTCATGGAAGATCTCTACAAGCATCTCTCGTAATTCAAGAACCCAAATAATCAGCGATGGCGCCATGCCCTCTACTGTCCCTTTAGCACCAATCATCACTCGATATCATACTCGAGTAGACCCTTCCCCCCCAGGTCAAAGATACTAAAATACCAACTCAAGGCTTAGAGCACAACATCGCTCTGTGGGATTTGGCACACGCCGCCACCTGCCGATACCGGTATTCCCTTCTGCACAAATGTGACAGCGCGCACTAACCTCACGCAAAGAAACCAACCACACTGCTACTCTTTCGGAATGCCGGAACAATAAAGAATTCAGATAACGGTAGACCCGGGCTGTGTAATAAATGATATGATGATAGATAACTGGAAGAAACCAAGGCAAAAACGGTGCATAGCAATTAATAAATTTCGAATGTGTGCGGGATTTGATACCAATGTGTAATTGAATCTTGTGAGATTTTTTGGAATTTGCCGAGAATTTAGACAGCAAACCCTACCGAAGTCGCCTGCCAAGCAGGTCGGTTGCTTGACTTGAACCAATCAATACCCTCAACACCCCCCCCCCCAGCCAATAATCAGAGGCCCGAGAAGTGTCAGTCGCTTCGGCTTGGCGAGGGTATTGTCGAGCAGATGGACCAATGGGGGGAGTTGATTCCACCCAGGGTTGCACCACCCCGATTTTGCATCGTCACTTTAACCTTTTGAACCCTCTCCCAACTCCAACACTCCCCCCACATTTCCCCTCGTTTGTCCATAGCAGACATTACCCCTCCCCCCTCAATCTTCACCCAAACACCTCAACCATATCCACTATCATCATGTTTACTGCTAGATCAGCTTTCTCGACTATTGGAAGACGTGCCTTCTCTGTTTCTGCACACCAGGTATTGTACCCAGTGGCCGCTAATCATCCCGGTTGGATGAAGAAATTTTTCCACCCATGGCTTCTTTTGAAATTGACTGCCACGAGAGCTTCAACTGATTTCATTCACTTCTTGGTGTTTTAGAGCTCTAAGGTTACTATTCTAGGCGCCGCTGGTGGTATTGGCCAGCCTCTATCACTGCTTCTCAAGCTAAACCCTAGAGTTACCGATTTGGCCTTGTACGATATCCGGGGCGGGCCAGGTAATTAGCATGCCCACGTATGGCCTGCCTTATGGATGCTAATTGCACTATCCAGGTGTTGCTGCCGACGTTTCTCATGTCAACACGAAGAGCAAAGTCACCGGCTATGACCCGGCTCCCGAAAAATTGAAGGCTGCACTCGAGGGCGCCGAGATTGTCCTTATCCCTGCTGGTGTTCCCCGCAAGCCTGGGATGTCCCGCGACGGTAAACATTCCCGGACAAACCTTAATCCTATACCAGACTGACTCTCTTAGATCTCTTCAAGACCAATGCCTCCATCGTTCGCGACCTGGCCAAGGCTGCCGCCGACTATGCGCCTAATGCTAAGCTCCTTATCATTTCCAATCCCGTCAACTCTACTGTTCCTATCACTGCAGAAGTACGTTACCATCGTGTTCCCATCTTAACCCTAGAAATACCGACGAAAAAATTAGGTCTTTAAGGCCAAGGGCGTCTACAACCCCAAACGCCTCTTCGGTGTTACCACCTTGGACGTCGTCCGCGCTTCGAAATTCATCTCCGAGATCCAGGGAACCGATCCTGCCGGTGAAGAGGTCACCGTTGTCGGTGGACACTCTGGTGTCACCATCGTTCCCCTCCTATCTCAGTCCAACCACCCCTCTATCGACGGCGCGACCAGAGATGCCCTTGTGAAGCGTATCCAGTTTGGTGGCGACGAGGTTGTCCAGGCTAAGAGTAGTGCTGGCTCTGGTGGCTCTGCTACCCTTTCTATGGCCTTCGCTGGGAGCCGGATGGCAGACTCCCTTCTGCGCGCTTCGCACGGTGAAACCGGTGTCTTTGAGCCTGCCTTTGTTCAGAGCCCGCTCTACAAGGACTATGGCTGTGAATTTTTCTCCTCCAGGATCGAGCTGGGTCCCGAGGGTGTTAAGGAGATTCACCCTGTCGGAAAGGTCAACAAGTATGAGGAGGGGCTGATCGCAATTGCCCTCAATGACCTTGCAGCCAATATCAAGAAGGCAAGACACTGTGATACCCCCCCCATTTATGCCATTACTGACCCCCGTATAGGGTCAGGAGTTTGTCAAGGCAAACCCATAAGCAGGCGATAGTTGGATTCCTTAAGGGTAGTTGCACGGTTTGTTTCATACGTCGTGATGTACTTTCTCATGTGATTTCTTTAGTGTCTGTAGACCGCGGGGCTATGTGGCTAAACGTCTCATCACCCTTGAATCAATATATGAAAAAGAAATTTTTTTAAAAAAAACTCAATTCCACTTCGTCTTATCAAAAGTTTAAAGCACCTGTACCATAGAAAAATCGCATACCGGTAAACAACGAGACCCTCGTAGCACAGGATCACGTGGTACTAACATTCAGTCAAGGAAACACTAAATCTTGGCGGTAAAAACCCTCAAAACAATCGCCCAAAAGCTAAGCTCAAAACTTACCCCCCACCATCGCCCACCCAAACAGCGACCGCGCACAACCCCGCTCACGCTCCCAACAGCCAATGGATACAAGACAATGGAAGAAGACTTCTTCTCCGACGACGAAACGCTAGACGCCCTTCCAGAAAAAGAGCTACAAGCGCTCGAGGACGCCGCAATCTCAAGCACCCAGGCGCGAGCAGTAGCAGTATCAGCCCAGCAATCATGCCACCAATACCAAAAACAACTCCCGCTCCCACAACGGCAGCAATGGTCACAACGATACCAGCAACAGCAGCAGCAGCAGCAGCCTCCACAAGACCATTACCTCTCTCCCGCACATTCGCTACCATCCGCAGCTCCGCCCGTCCAACGGAGACCTTACCAGCGACCATTCAAGCCTCCGTTGCAACAGCGGCGGCAGGAAGCTGTCATCGTGGAGTATGAGACACTTCCGACCCTACCCTACGTATCCGAGCCTCCGACGCCACAGCAGGTCCAGCCGCCGCCGATAGAGGCGGCGGTGGAGGTTGAAGCCGCCTCTTCGGATTATGGACCTGTTGACTTTGACCTCGAGATTGCGGAGGAGTTGTTTGACTATGCCGCGCCAAGGGCGGAGGGTGAAGGGAATGGTGGTGGCGGTGGTGGTGGGGAGCAATATGTGTATGACGAGGGGCAATTCAATGTGGAGCACGTTGGCAAAGGGTATGCTAACGGGTATGGGGAACGTATCCGGGGGGATGAGGATCATAGGATGACGGATGAGGAGGAAGGTATCCTGAGGCGTCTGGAGGAGGTAAGTTTTTGCCGCTCTTTATTCACTCCTAACTTTTACTCTCGTGTATTATAGTTGAGCCAACCAATGATTACAGCTGCGAGTCGAAAACACCCGTCTTGAATCTGAACTAGCGAACCTAAAAGCCCAAAAGGAAGCCGAACTCGTATCGCTCAGACAAGTCAAGGACGGCGAAACAAGCATCATCCGCAGCAATTTGGCAAAGGAGAAAAAGGAACACGCCCGAATAGTCACCTCCCTGACAAATCAGCACCAGGCAAACACCGACAAACTCAATGCCCAGATCGCGGAGAAAGAGAACGAGATCAATCGGCTGAAGACTACGCATGCATTCCTGGAAAAAGAGAACGCGGACTATGAGAAGCAGATACGGAGTTCCAAGAAGGTTGTCATCAGTAGCGGGAGGGTTGGCAGGAGTCCTGTTACTACCCCGCGGAAGGGGAAGGGGATGCAGCACAGGGATGGATTTGACGACGACGAGATCATGATGGGTGGGAGTCCCTCTATGATGGCTGGGAGGAGGACGCCGACTAAAGGGGTTAAGAGGAAGAGGACCGCTCAGGATAGCCCTATCATCCCGTTACCGTTGAGTCAACCCAGGAGGACATCTGCGTCGTTCACAGAAGTTCAGGAGCAGGTTGTTGATGAGGCGTTATTGGAACGGATGTTCCTAGAAGATGATCGGTTTGATGTTTGTCCCACTGAAGTATCTGCGGTTCCCCGAACATTGAATCGCTGATCGTGGGAGCAGTTCTTAAAAGCACTTGTGGCACATAGGGTCAACCGATCCGAAGAACGAGCGTTAGAGGCTTTAACAAGATTCTCTTTTCCTTCTTCTGACGCCACAATCTCATCTTTGTTCCTGGATAGAGTCACGTTGTTGGAGACCACGGCGGCGAAATTGGAGTTTTCGGTTGGAGTTTCGAAGGTTCTACTTAATCTCTGGGCCAGGTGTTTGCAGGAGTCATTTGTAAGACTGCTCTCAACCCATTCCTGCTCCTGGATATCTGTGCTGACAATGATTAGTTTGGGCCATTAATGTTTCTTCTAGACCTACTACAGTTCAGCGTTAATTGGGACCAAGGTGGTAAATGCCACTGGTTCTGCGAGGAGGCGGTGGAATTGATTCAGCGGACGGTGGACATCAATGCCATTCCGACACTCCAAAAGAACTTTTCCAAAATCGAGAAGGACGTAAATGTTACCCCCTGCCTGGAGCTCTTGGAAAGCATAGCCCTGGGAATGGTTGGAAACGAGACCCATGTGAGAAGGTATGATAGGAGAATTGATAGCAGGCTTGATCCAATCCCTTCCCGCTAACTAATGTTAGATTCTGGCATTGTGTACGTTCAGACTTCCCCCTTATCCTGCTGAACCCCACACAGCCGATTGAGCATATACACCGCATGACGTCGATCCTTTGCACGAGCGTGACCAGCCAATCTTTCGGACCACGGGGGAGCAACGAGACGGCCCAGCGCCAGAACGAATCTAACCTGTTGGCGTCCATAACGAGGGTATTGTCAGATACCCCTGGATCAGCAACAGGTGAACCGAGATGGGATAGAGTTGAGGCCGTAGAGCTGAGGAAGGAGATAGTCCAGTTTCTAGGCACAGTTGCGGGTGTGAAACTTGGAATTGAGGCTCTTGCCCAGCATCAGGTCGTGTTGCCAAGGTTATCGAAGAGGATCGCAGAAGAATTGGAGGAAGTGTATGAGTGGAAATATGGAACGGATAGAAGGTACGTGTTTTCCCCAATTCGCTTCCGCCATTTCCCGGCAATCCCCTTTTTTCTTGCTTCTCTTCCCTTCCCGCTCCTTCTTCTCCTGGTTCCCAACACGCTCGTCGGTCAGAAGACGGAATAGTAGGAGAGAGAAGAAGAGAAAAAAAACACCCCCCCCGAATAAAAGGGACAGGAAATTCGGGAGAAGGAGAAGAAAGAAAGAAAGATATGGTATCCCGTACAGAAAGAGAAGAGAGCAGTAAAGGACTAAGTAAAACCCTCTGTACCACAGTTCCCAATTCCTGAATTCGGCCGTGCGCCTCCTCCACGCGATCATCACCACCAACGCCCAGGATGCAATCGTGAAACTCTCGGGAAGTACAAGCTACAAGCACATCGTCTCCATGACGCGTATAGCATTTAGCGATGGGGAGCTTCAGGAGTCCGGGATAGAGGAGACTATAATGTACCTCGCTCACGAGATTCTAGAAGTAATGGTCACGCCGCATGAAGGGGAGAAGCTCTGGAGTCTTTTTCGTCCGTGATTAAAGGATGATGGCGATTATACCCCCTTCTTTCCTTCCCTAACTTATCGATATTGTATCATACCAAAACCTTTTCCCCTTCCTCCTTTTCTCCCCCCCTTTTTTTCTTTCCCATCGGTGGGCCTAGTTTGTAGCATATATATATATATTCTTCCTGTCTCCTGTATCGCAACCCGGTACCGGTAGTTGGGAAGGGAGGGAGGGAGAAGGGGAAAAAAAGGATAGAAAATACTCGTACTCGAGTATCGTGGTTTACAAACATTGATATACAGTAACTTTAGCACAAAGTTTGCGACGGCCATGGGTCCAAATCGAGGCAAGTTATTACCGGGTATTATGATATAACGCCCCTTCCATCCATTCATCCATCCGCAGTCCAGCCCAGCCAGCCCCACACCGCGGAGGTAGGTGTGTGTCCGTGTGTGCAGAGGGGAAAGGGGGCTGATGAATGAGGCCGTACAGTAAATTGTAATGGAGGATATGATAGCGAGCGCGGCAGGGGCCACCGCGGTATCATAGTCAAGCCAAAACAGCGCCGTTCGAGTCGAGGCAAACGAACATTCGGGACCTACGATGCCGGTACGCGGTATCATACAGTAACGAGTTTATTACTTCCCACCGTAATGAACACCGGTGTTCACAAAGCGCCCCTCCCTTTCCCCTTTCAATCTTCTTCTCCTCAACCCCTTCCATCCATCCATCCAACCTTCACCTCTCTAGAGTACAGCATCGCGAGGGAACATTCTACCGGTACCGGTAGTCTACTACTGGTATGATATGATACCCGAGTACCCTCGCAACCCCAATTTTAGTGGTGGCTGTACTAGTACGGAGCACTCGAGTATGATACTTGTAAACTAGGCATCGTATCATACCGGTATACCGTAATCAATTACACCTCCAAATCCGTCCTAGCGCGATCACGTGATCGACTCTCCGGACGCGTTTTTACACCTTTTCCTCTTCTCATTCTTATGATATTATTTGTGCGAGTACCGGAGGCACAAAACAACCCTGACAAGCGGTTTGAACGATAACTTGAAATTGTCCTATCACTTGACCTGTAAGTGATGCTTTAACAAGAAGGGTACTTGTATTATTATTATTATTATCGACTCGCTCACCTCACCTCGTCATGGGGGTTTTTTTTTCCACAGTAGCTTTCCGGTTTGGTTCGATTTGATTTTCATGAAATGAATAGTCTAAACTCGAGTACCGTGCCGTACTTCATAATTATGATAATTTTCCCCGCTGCCGTCGAGGTGATTTGCATAGTTTAGCGCTCTCTGCACCCACCGTGCGGTTACATGTGTACTCAAGTACAGTAGGCGCTGGAAGTACCGGTACCGGTGCTGGTATCATACAAGCACGAGTGCAGGCACGGGAGGTAAGTTAGTTGGGTTATCTATCCAATAAGGCTCGGCAGAACGGATAGACCGCAGTCACGGTATTGTACTCGTACTCGTACTAGTACGAGTATTGTGTGCCGAATGAGAGGGCTGGATGGTGAGGCCGATGTGAGACGGTTTCAAGTCGGTGAGGGTTTGGAGGTACCCGTACAGCAATGTGAAGAAGGAAAAGGAAGGAAGGAGAAAAGGGAGGTGGGGGATGAGGAAAGAAAAAAAAAAGAAGAGAGAGAGAGGAAAGGTCGCTTCCAAATGACCGGGTACCCGCAGTCTAATATGTACTGTAAGCTTTTTAACTGTACTCGAGTACTCGAGTATGATACGGCGCACTGCACTGTGCTGTGCTGTGGCTGTATGATATCTATGCCGAGCTTGGATACGGCATGCGGATACGGTGCGTCGGGATTACTTTGAGTCCGTGATTTTTTATTTTTTTTTCCTCCTTCCCTCCTTCACTCCCGGTCCACCCGAATAAGGTTGGACACGGTGGACCAGATGAGAATTGGGGCCGTCAATGGAAAGCACAGTATAATCCCTCTCTCTCGGGATTCCGTTTGGATTTGGATTTGTTTGCCTAATGGAAATGCGAGGCATCATGGGTTGGAGGGTTTCCCTCTCTCTCTCTCGTTTTTTTCCTTACCCCCCTTTCTCCTCCTTCCCGAAGTGCGTGGGTTCACTTCACTTTTGCTCTCCATCACGCATTTGAGAAGCCGGTACTCGTACGGTACGGTAGATACCCTCGCGCTATGTCTGATATGCTCGGTTGGTTCGGTTTCCTCTGTTTGCATGGGCAAGGGCTTTCTGGATGGGGAAGTGGATCATTGGGTCCGATTGACTGATTGTTCGATTGGGGGGGGGGCGCTAACCAATACGGTAAGAGTGGTACAGCACAAGTGAAGAACTCTCTGCTCGTACTCTGCTCTACCGTGCTCGCAGCAAAAGGGCGGCTGTAGCATGCGTTTCTGCGTCAGGAGTGTGGATTAGGGACCAAGTATGGCTCATGGCATATCATACATACGGTACTCGAGTACAGCAGACAGACAGACAGAACATGCTCGGGGGACGGAGCAGGCTGAGGAACACATCATGAAGACCATCCTCGTGCTCCATCTACTTGTATGACGATAATATTAATAAGAACTCTGGTTATACTACGCCGCCGCCCCTTCATTCAACCAATTGCCTAGCTTCTTACCTACTTTGGCACCTCCACTCTCAACAGTGATCCCCACCAAGTGTGACTGCGGTACGGTAGTGTTGCCGTGGTGATGGGTTACGGGTAAGATATCTGTTGCCGTATCGTTACCCTATCGCATCGAGCGTCGTTAGTCTACTGGGTCCGGGGAATGAAGGGGGAAGAGAGGGAGAGATTGTGTGAGTGAGGGGAGGGCTGGGAAACCGCGGAAGTGACCAGCCTTGACTAGGCCAGAGTTGGACGAATGATGACTCCACCGGGTTGGAATGCCAAGCAAAGTCACAGGGTTGCGCAACCAATGAATACTGGGGGCTGCGCGTCGGAGGCCGAGGGACGCGTTACCTCGACGCGCCCTTCGATGAGATTGCGGAGCGCGCACAGCGAAGGGGAGTGGGATGGCAATTTCGTTAAAGTGGAATTGAAACCTTCCCATTCGCCGTGCGTAAGGGTACGGAATGGGGGACGGATAGGTATTTACAGAGTACAAATAACCCCATTCCTGCGTTATGGAGAGAGGAGGAGGAGGAGGAGGAGGAGGTAAGGGTTTCCTGCTCGGCATTATGGGCAACTTTTTTTTTTGGATTTTCAATTCCTTGTAACGGGGCTGGACGCCGCTGGTGCAGAAGGGGTTTTCCCTTCCATATCCCCCACCTCATTCATGCCTTCGAGTTGGAATTCTATAACTTAACATATCCTCTCTGTCCCTCTCACTCTCACTCTCACACTCTCTCCCTCTCCCTCTCGCCCCCAACAAGCACCGGAGAAGAAGGCTTGGGAAAGAGGAGCAAAAATAGGCACCATCTCGCACAAGAATGTCCAGGTGGTGAAAGGAGAAGGCTTTGCCTCTTGCTCACTTCACCTTAGTCGAACAGGACGCAGCACGAGTTACGCAACGACCGTCACCACCACCAACCCCCTCTCTTTCCCGCTGTGAGCTGACCGGGGATCGTAGGTGACTGACTGTACCGTATTCTCTCCCCCCCCTTCATTTTCCCTTCGCTCCACTTTTCTCTCCCACTCTCCCTCTCTCTCTCCCACTTGTTCTACCCCTTCTGTCTGGGAACTGCAAATCTTTTGCTTTTGCAAAAATAATTGCCTCCCCTTCCTGACTGAGCCTGAGGCCGTCTCTGCGCTTCCTGTTCGGTCCATCACTTACAGTTACTCCTTGTACCTTTTTTCTTCACTTTTTTTTTTTTTTTTTTTTTTTCCTTTTTCACTGTCACTTCCACTCCTTCACTGCCCACCGTGCTCACCACCAGCCCGCCAACTCCGAGGGAACTCGATCAGGCCTGTCCTGACTTCGTCTTTCTCCTCCTTTCCTTTCCCTCTTCTCTCCTCGTTTCCGTGCTTTCATTCTTTGCTCGTATAATCCCATTTCACACTCTCTCATTCTCGGATATCGTGCTGCGTCCAACGCTTTACACGCTCCCGTGTTCTTAACCGCAATTGCGTGTAAAGTGCTTTTGGCTCCTACCGACTACGGAACCCACCCCCCCCCTCAATTCTATTCACCACGCGACCCTTTATCCAGCTGAGGGAGGATATATCCAACCGTCCGTTTTATACTATCGATAAAAATACTCATTTATCGCTATTTCATCGTTTCGTGGAAATAGAGGACAACTGAGGATAAAATCCTCCCAGCACCAGCCGGCCGAACCTCGATGGATTCCTCACCCGTGCGAAGGGTCCTCGACGTGAATAATGCTGCCGCTGGTGTAAAACGCCCAGCACCTGGCTCTTTATTGCCAGCCTTCGAACCGAGTTCCTCCCCACCATGTTTTAAGCGTCACAAGTCTCGCGTATCGGAGAGCGAGAATAGATATCCGACCCCTGTTCCCTCATCCTCTCTCGGCGTCCTCTCGTCCCCCCCCCCTCAGCTATCGTGCAAACCCGTACCCGAACAAAGTCAACCTGCTCTCTCCGAACGCTCTCCCTTGGGTGGTATCCCATCCATCACCCTGCCGGAAAACGGTGAACCCGTCCTTTTGGGAAGGTCCAGCAATTCATCTCACTATCAGCTTTCTGCCAATAGATTGATATCACGCGTCCACGTCAAGGCACTATATCTAACCACAGCATCAAGGCCAAAGGTCGAGATCCAATGTCTAGGTTGGAACGGCGTAAAGGTTCATTGCCAGGGCCATGCCTGGGAGTTGGCAAAGGGAGATGTGTTCACGTCCGAAACTGAGCATGCAGAGATTATGCTTGATGTCCAGGACTCACGTGTAGTCCTTGCATGGCCAGGCCGGTCTCGCTCCGCAAGTCTCCCGGCCCTGGGCTCACCCACTGGTAGGGTATCCAGGAGTCCATCCATTGGATGGGTAGATGATAACGATGAGAACGTTGACCCCTGCGGCTCTGATGCAAGAAACAGCATCCGTCGTTGCGGTGCCATGCTCGGTGAGAAACGCAACCGTTCACCTGTCTCTCCTCTCCATAAAAGGGGAGGCGGAAATTCATCCTCTATGCTTTTGTCGGAATCCCAGATGACTGACACCTTTTTGGAAATCTACGAGGATGAGCCTGTGCCTGACTTTAACGAGGGGGCCCGGTCTACCCTTCCCGAGCCATCTGAGAAGGAGGAGATTTCCCAGGCAATGAGGTCTCTGCTTGGTGACAGTGAGGGCGAAGATGAAGATGAGGGTCAGGATGGTGATTCTTTTGAGGATAATACCGATGCCATTGCGCAGAGTTTCCGCGAAGAGGAGCCCTCTCTCCCTCCAATGGTCACCTTCTCTACCGCCGAACCCCTCGGTGTTCCAGCCACTCCCCCAACCTCGTATGTTGCCCGCGGATCATCCGCCTTCTCCTCACCCATAAAGCGTCGAAGTGCTTCAGTTTCCCCCACCAAGGCCAATACTCTCCAGAATCACATCACCAACCAACTTGCTTTCTCGCGTCTTTCTTCCACCCCGCTCTCTGCACTCTTGTCAAACCTCCCATCATCGCTTGCGCCATTGGTTAACAAGGAGCGTCTTATCGAGGTTTTAGATAGTCTTCCTTGCATCGGAGAAATCAAACGATCCGGTAAAGACGCGGCTGGAAAGCCACTAGAAAGTGAATATTACTATGTCCCCGACCGTGATACAGATCTCGGCAGACGCGGTGCTGTCGTGCAGGGAATGGGGAGAGTTGGGTTGAGGGCGTGTAGAAGAACTCATAAGGTAAGATGATGTGATCGTGGTTTCTTTGTTTGCATGGGTATGAGCATAAACTAACCGGGTGCTTAGCAATACTACTGGAGAAAGCCGAAGAAGCCGGCTTACTACTAGTCTGCCTCCGAACCGTGGTATCACTGTTTGTCAATTCTCTACTTGTTTTTTTTCTTTTCTTCTTCCTTTTCAGGTTTTGCATATACGCGTCTTGCTGCCGGGTTTAGCATTTACACTTTTTTTCTTTCCAAAATCCGGGTTTTTCCTTCTTGCCTGGGGTTTCTTCTTTTGGCAAATTTTTTTCTTATCTTTCCGTATATTCTCGTCATGTCGATTGTTTGCTCATTATACCATTTATCCAGGGAGTGCTGCTTTCCTCGTTTCGTTTCTCAGGATGGTGATTTTTTGATTCCCTTTTTTATATTATATTATATCGGCGGCATTCTCGTTTTTAACTCTGGTTTTTTCTTTTCTTTCCTTTTTGCTAACGTTACTTCTTTCCCTTGCCCTTCCAGAAAGTATAGTTATGATGGGAAGGTATGATAGCAAAACTGTATTTTTTTGGTTTGCTACTTTTGATTTGAATGGGGCGTCTGTTGTGTTTGAGTGTGTGTATGGGTGTGGTGTGGAAAGTTGACTGGTTGACAGGCGTCTTATGAGGCACGAGATTGAGTTGGAGGAGGACAGGAAAACGACTAATGTCTCTGGGGAGGAGTTAAAAGAAAGGAGCAAGAACAACATAAAAAAATACTGTACGCAACGGGCCATGATGATGTCTGTAGGGAAAGTATGCATGTCCTTTCTTTTTCTTGTCTTGATTTATTTCTCTCTTCAAAAAAAAATTCCCCTTTCATTCTATGTCTTTCCCTTTTATTAGTCTACTCGGTGTTCTCTCCGAATTTATTTCTACCAGGGGAAACACATTGGACGGGGTGGACGTACCAAAGAAAAGAAAAAAAAGCCAGCTCTTGCATGCCATGAGTATGCCACGAGGTATGCAAGCAGTGATAATTGGCCCTTTTTTACTTATTTAAAACCATTTCCGCCGAAAAAAAATTAAATTTCGATAATCCAATGCCATGGCCTACAATACAAGCTTCACATAATAATACTTAATTGAGCCTCCTCCTCCTCCCAGCCCAGAAGGCGGGGTTTGTTTACCCCCTACGTCAGCGGCTCAACTCGGGAATCGGGAGATCGGCAGATGGGTAGGGTTAGGGGTTTCTATTTATACTTTCCTCTTTCCTTTTTTATTTATTTTTTTCCTTTTTTCCCCCCTTCTCTTTGTCCGCCGCAGGGGTTTCAGGGCCTTGTGAAACCATTTACGGATTAGAAACGGGCGAGACTGGGTTGGACTGGGTCGGGTCGAGTTGGTGGGGGAGGGCTTTTCGTGGCGGGCGTGTTCGTGTCATGATAATTATGCCATCCGCGCGATGTAGACTACCGTACAGTTATGTATGATAAGATAGATAGATACCCTTCCGCCAGAGGGGCACCCACTACGGTACATCGCACCGGTACGGTAATGTAAAACCCGTTGGAAAAGTCCCCCTCGCATCGCATCCCACCGTATATATATACAAGTACATGCATACATATTTTCCTACCAAATAACAGATATTGCGTTCCCTCCCTTCCCCTTCCCCTTCCCCTTCCCGCCGGAGCATGTGGATGGCAGGACACTCGTCGTCCGCATGCGGTAATATATCATGAACGTGAATTCTCGAGTTTACTACCGGTAGTTGACTTGACGATCGCCGTGCTGGTTTGTGGAATTTGGTCCGGTTTTGGCGTATCGTTGTTTGGAAGGGAGGAAGGGAGGGATGGAATGGAAAGGGGAGAAAAGCGAGGTGTATAGTACTGTCTGTACCCCGTACCTGTGCCATTACAAGTGCGAATGAATGATGTAAGAGTGTGGATTTAACGGCTTACCAATATATGGTTCGCTCTCCTTTCAAACTTTTTTTTTTCTTTTCTCCACTAATTGTGATGACATATCTGCACGAGGGTTTCCGGAGAAATGACGAAAGCAATTCTGCTACTATAATAATAACATTATAGAGTTGAATTTGTCGCAGTGATAATTCGTGATTCGCTACTCGTGGTGCCGGTAGTCCTGGTGCGGGGATTGGTTACGGCGCCAGGGCGGGTGCTCATATGATACTGGGCTTTTGATTTTCAATACGGATTACCGTGCCCATTTCAGTGCAATGTCGATACATCATCAAAAGCTTCAATTGATCGATATTCGGGACCATCATATCGCCACCCTCACCCTAAAAAATCCCCCATCACACCACTTTCCGAAAAACCAAGAGAAACACTCCAAAAAAAACCAGCCAAAGAATGCTACCGTATATTACCGAATCTCTAATTAAGTCAGCCAACTTTACTTCCCCTCCCCCCCGCCTCCATCCTCCTCCACCGATCGACCGACTTCCCCGTCAACTACAGACAGCCAATTAACAAACAAAAACAAAGGAGAGAGAAAACTCCATAAATGCCCCAAGATAAAAAAAAGTACTTGTAAAAGAAAGGCGGATAATAGAGGCAGCGGGTGAAGAACCCCTGTTATCAATCAAACCAAAAAAAAAAAGACAAGGCCACCTATTCCCAAGTATCCACAGAAGAAAAGAAGAGAGTAGACGCTAACCTTCACGAAAGTAATAAATAATACAAGAACAGGTTTTTACGTATGTAGGACTATGATAAATGCTGGGCTAAAACAGGAAAGGGATAGAGCATAGCTAGATCATGACTAGGGGGGAAGCAAGGGAATAGAGAGACAAGTTCTCTTGCTTTAAATCCCCCCTCGACCACCAGCTGCCCCCTTCTGCGCAATCCTCTTGCGGTATTGGTCTCGGAACTTTTGTCTTTCAAAGGTGCCTATCGAAATCACAGTCAGTCGACATTCTCCACCGCCAGTATGGAAGGAATTTACATACCCCATCCAAAGATGGAACACGCAATGACCAGATATGTCCCGAAAAAGTACAATCCAATCGGTACAATCTCGATTTTGGTTCCGGGGAGCTTGAACGGGCCATCGATAGTCGCTGTATTGTTTTGGCTGGCTGAGGCTACGTTCGCAAATACGCCGTTGACGAAGGTTGCCTCGTCAGCGGAGAGGACAGTGCTTAATTGTCTGCCCTCAGAAGTGCTTGCAATAAGGGAGATATTCGGCTTCAACATGTTCTGCAATTCGCGCCTATAATCAAACATTGTTCAGTCCACCATTCCACTTGTTTGGCTTTTCCTGGGGAGGGGAAAGCATACTCAGTCATGTCGTCCGCCAAAAGCATCTTGTCAATCTGCCCGATAAAGTGAAACTCCTGGACCTTTTGGGGACCCTCAGAATTCGCAGAGGCCTGTGCCGTTGCAGCCGCCTCCTCGGCCGTCTCGTTCCTCAACTGCACCGCCGCGCCATTATACATCAGAGAGACATCAATGTTCCCCCCAACCGTAGCCCAATCACCCTCCGGAGCCGAAACCTGGTAAAGCCTCAGATCGGCCGCGAAAACGCCCGAATCGTTGCTCTGAAATGGAAGGTTGTAGCAGACGGCGATGCCGGAAGGGTTGGAAGCCTTTGTAACGTTCTTCAGCCTGTCGATACACCTGAGCGTCGTCTCCCTCGCCCAGCTCTGCAGATCCAGTTTCTCAATATCAGACTCATTCCTCGCCCCATTCGATTGGCGTCGAGCAATCCTGTCGTCCGTATCCCTGCGAAGCAGGTTGTGCCAGCTTGACTCCGACTCTGGCACGCTCCCGGGCACTATGAGCATTGCGGCAGGACTTGAAAGTGCTGTTGTGACGACGCTCAGCGCCGATACCGCCAACAGTAAATAGGAAAGGACGGTGCTCTGCATCGTTGTGATTGGTTGGTGTGTGTTTGTCGCGAGAAGGAAAGAGGGTGGTGGAATGCGGTAGCTGGTTGGCGGAATGAACTGTTAGTCCCCCTGAAATGTGACCTCGCTGTTGCGGGCAACGGATAAAGGATAAAAAAGGGGGGGATGAGGGAATGGAGAGTGGCGGGCGAGAAAAATGGAAAAGGTGGGGAATGAAGAGGATAGATTGGAGTGGAATAGAATAAATCCAAATACCAGCATATACACTCGCCTTGTTTGCGTGTGAGTGTGCAAGCAAGGGCATGTGGCTGGTTAATTTAAAAGCGGGTACATACCTAAGAGCTTGGATTGGAATAGAAACCTCTGCACCAGTCGAAAGAGAGTGTCGACCCGAAGCCTCGGACCGTGTTGGCGAAGGAAGAAGCAGATGATGATTAACCGTGTTTGTCGTTGCCGTAATGATAGTTCGGAGATGGGTGCGGGTGGTCAAGCTATCTCTCGCCCTGCACCCTTACCCTTTTTTCTTCACAAAGAGGGAAAAAAAACCGTTAAAAGATCCGACAGAGAGGGACAGCGCCGGCGCTGGGCGGAAGCCGGTTAGCGGAGAGAGAGAGGAAGAAGGGAAGGGTAAAGAATGAACCGGAGTGATTATCACGGCGTCCAGCAGCACGGTTAGGAGTGAGAGGGAGGGAAGGAATGAGGGAAGGGGGCGGCGGAAGCAAGAAGAAGGGAAAAAAAAAAAGGAAAGAAAGAAAGAAAAGGGAAAAGAAGGGAGAGGGGAGAGAAAGTGGGAGCGGGAGAAGTGAAAAGGGACAGGAAGGGCGAGTGGGTGGGGACGGGGGGCCAATAGTAAGGGTGTGAATAGGCAGACGATGAGCGGTGGGCGCTTGCTGCAAGGGGGGAAAATGGTAGGAAAAGCGGATATCGAGTGCAGGATGAGGCGTCCAATAAGCGAGTTTCCACAAACCGGTTCCTGCAGGAAGAAAACGGTGAGAAATCGAGCCAAGAGGAGAAAGGGAGCACGGAGGGAGCACGCCAAGTCTAGCCAATAATGAATTGATGATTGGCGGAGAGGAAGGTTATTGTCGGATTGTGACGCTCTCTTCTATTCCTCCCCACTGGTGCCCGATAACCACGACAACCGTAATTTGGTGCAATGCACAAGTAATGTGTATTGGGCAGAGTGAAGGGGAAGGAGCCGTGCCGTCTGTGAAAGAGCCAAAGGGAGAGGGAGAGAGTGTGTACCAACCACAGTGGAAGGTCAGGTCAGGGTGTTTTGAATACCGGTACCTGTAAAAAGCGGAGTTTCCGTGACACGAGAAGGTCCGAACTTGCCCTGGTATGATATGATACAAGTACTCGAAGGGAGCAAGAGCAGTGAGCGTTCAGTCTGAAGGGGGAAAGTGGTTGTCGATATCGTGTGTCCCACTCGTGTGTGCTCGTACTTGTTAGCTGCTCGCTGGAGCTATGGCCGTGAAGCGCAGGGTCTCTGCAGTGGAGAAGGGGGAGATTGTGTGGAGGGTGGAAAGCGATGGGGGGACGAGTACAAATGGCCTCTCGATGGACTACCCACCGCACAGTATGTACCGGTACTAGTACTAGTACTCGAGCAGTGTCGGGCGCGAGCTGGAACCACCACCACTTGATCACCTTTCAAGTTGAACAGGCTGCCCCACGGAGGGATCATATCCCCCACAGCCACCAATGATGACTATGGAATACCGGAAATCCTTCTTTCAAGCGCCAATAGTAACGGCTGAACGCCAATCGCAGCAAAGTGAATGTCTCAGAGAACAAATTACGAGTGGGTAAATCCTCCGATCTCAGCCCAATCAGATCCAACGCCTACCGAGCCGCCGAGAGTCCTGCACCCGCGACTCAGCTGGGAAGCAACGACTTTCTCAACGAACGAGTGAACCAACGAGATGAGGAAAAAGGATTCGCAACAAAGGTAAAAAGAAACCCATCCATCTCTCAGGATGGACCATGCCATGCTACGCCAGATACCCCAGATACTCGAGCAGATGCCCCACCCCTCTTCCTGTCGAAACGCCCAAAGCAAATGCCAATGCAGTGCATTGAAGGTTTCAAGTTCAGCCACTGAGACCTCACCAAAACGTCGCACTAGTCCTAATACGTCCATTAGGTCTTGGGGGTTGTAACACCCCCCCATCTCGTCCGTCCCTGAAAATCCCGTATCACGGAATGTCTGTGCGCTCAAACCCGCCTGCCTGTGGCGACAATGGACAAAGTCGAAAGGAAGGGAAAGCAAAAATTTACCACGGTATGGTACGATATCTCGAGTACCGGTACCCACAAGTGCAAGATTGCCCTACTCGAAGGAAGCTAGCAGCACTTGGCACGAGTACAGTATCACCCCGTCTCAAGCTTTGGGGGGAGAAAGTAACTTTTTGCCCCGGAGGACCCATCAAACCCATCAATTCGCCACTTTCACACCACTTTCTTTTTTTTTTGCATCTTTCCCTTCTCGAGACGGGTGCAAGTGTCATGCAGCACCGGTACAGTGCAGAGCTATTAGGGTTAGCCATTGACAATCCCGGACTCCGCGGGTTTGGGAAAATAAAATATGAGAGAGGCGTTGCTCGATCGTTGGTCACGGTTGGTGATGTGCATTGTGCCGGTCCTCGTACCGTACGCCCGGAGACAGATCTCTACAAACTCCATCTCGAGAAAAGGGCATTTCGTAGCGATGAGGGAGTGGATTAGCCACGTGAGCTTTCGAGCAATAACCGTAGGGGAATCCTCACCACTCTGGGTTATCAAAGAGTCGAAACCCAGGATGGAATAATTTGCTCCTATATGCAGTGGGCTACCCGTGGCCCAAAAGCGAGAAAAACCAAACGACAAGTACTGTACTCGAGTACTTGCGTGATACCAGCAAAGTGCATAAAGTACCCACCCGCCCGCATCCCCGACCACGATACCGTACCGCACCGAATCAGGCGATACCCACGCTTGTACCTGTCGTGCACAATCGTATCCACTGCCCACACCCACCTCGGATCTCTGCACGGGACTATCGTACAGGCAAAATATCATACCTCAACAATCTTTTCACACTCGCACAGCATTGGCACACCAGAGAAAACCTATCCATTCGCAGAGGAGGCAAGGGCGGTTAGATTGAAGCTGAACTGCCATCTTCCTTGCATTGCCTTGCTCTGCCCTACCACCCCGTACAGAACTCGAGTACCGGTACTTGAGTGGGGGCACGGTAGTACTACTGTACGAGTATAGGCACGGTAGATGGACACGAACCGGCAGCAGGGTTGCATTTTAGTCGATTATGTAAGGGTTGTTGCTCGGTCGATCATGAGAATGTAGGAGGAGGATACGGTACTGAACGGATTCCAGCGAGAAAAGGGGAAAAGTTCGAGTTGTGGCGTGATAGCGTTAGATTGGGATGCGCTACGCCCAGGCATTCCCGCCTTGGCGAGGGAGAGAGAGAGGGGGGAGTTGTGGCTAGGTATGGTAAAAGCCAAGACGGTGAGGCCCGCTTTTTTTAACCGCCATGCCTACAATACTAATTAGTATTACGGTTGAAACGCTGGTTTGGTTTTGCGTGGTGGAGATTGTGTTGGGCTACCGTATGATACAGCAGCCGTAAGGCTAAGCCCAGCACAGGACCCCGGCGACAGACACTACTTGTATGATACTACTCGAGTAGTACCGTACCTCACCCTCTCTGTACTCGGGGAAATGGTTGGCGGTGAGTTGACGTGTTCGTGAGTTGGTTTTTTGGCAGTTGGTTTGGCAGTTTTCCCAATTTTATGCAATCCCTGGATCTTGGGTGTTTTTTTTTGTTAAATCCGCGGTTTATTTGTAGCTAACTACAGGAAAATCCATGGCAAGCACCCTAAGGCATGGCCTAAAAACCCCTTGTACAAATGAAACTTCACCCCCTAAACAAAACCAATGTCCAATAGTAATCACCTCATTCCGCGCATCAATGAAAACATTTCATAAATCATGAAGCCAGATTGGCCAACCTCGTATAAGGAAAATCCTCCCCACCTGCCGGAAAGTTAATCCTGTTCTTCATTACATAAGAAATAAAACTCCCCATCAAGCGCAACCCTTTCTTCCCACCCTTCCACAATTCAGAATCAGGCAAAATATCAAAGGTCTTCGGGTCTTCATGCAGGCGAGCCCCAGCTAACGCTGGGCAAGCGACCACATATTAAAACGTCTCCTCTTCCACCTCACACCTCCTGCACATCGGGTCTCGGTCCCGCGTGGACCAGTCTGTCTGCGCATTGAGATAGCTCTTATTTGCACGCATCTGGTGCACCCGCCCAGCCTGAAATTTCGGGAATGTCATAAATGACCAACACTCCCGGTATGGTGGCCTATAGCCGTAGTATGGCGGGTAATCCCAATCTACCCACCTCTTGTGTATTGTCTTCCTAACCTGCTCCCGAACCTTGAAGTGCCCTTCGGCATCCTCCGGTTTGACCATCATTAGGCGCGTGGGCTTCATCGGAATGGGGCCATCCACGAACACCGTAGTGGCTATCGCGGCAATCTCATCCAAGGGCAATCGTACTTGGGCCGTTGTGTTCGATGTCGACCGCCAAGTCTTTGGTCGCATCCCGCCCCTGTTGTTATCGAAGGCCATCTTGCGGTTCCCTGGGTACCTATACTCTCTCTGTACCGGGAATGCCGCTGGTAACATGGCCGTGGCTAAGTTGTTCTCTGGTATCGCCGTCGTCACTCTGACAATCGACATCATCCTGACCTGATCCACGTATACCCTCATCGGCGCCAAACAGGCCTCAGACGAGAGCACCGTCACATCGGCAGCATAAAATGCATTAGTGACCCATCGCAACACCCTATTCCAAAAGGTCTGCATCTTCTTCAGCATCGTCGCGGACGGCTCAAGCACCTCCGCCCCATACAACATAGTCGGTAACAATATCCCCTTCGCCAGCCTCCTTGCTCCATATGGCGAGCGTCCTTTGCCCGGCATTGATAGTCTCCGAATCCTCCAGAAAGCCACTTGGGCCAGCGACAACCTTTTCGTAAAGTGTGTAGATGTCTCCCCGTTATCCGCCAGCCAGTATCCCAGCCACTTCACCACTGTCCCAGCCGGTTGAACCCCGTGCGCCTGTAACGTGATCTCATCCTGTGCTCGCGGTCCCTGTTGTCTCCGCGTGCACCAGTGCATCATTTCAGTCTTCGCAACACTAAAAGAGAGGCCCAGGCCCTGAGCCACCGCCATGACCCGCTGCCCCCTCTCTTCCAGCATCCTCACGTTTCGATACCAAGAGGTGGACGCCACAGTGATCTGGAAATCGTCCATGTAGGATGACGTGAAGGTGTCCGCCGTGTCGAAATCTATGTACAGTGGATGCACATAGACTACAAACAGTAGCGGCGATAATGGTGAGCCTTGTGGTATGCCAAGGTCAACCCTGTTACTCCGCCTAGGACTGCCCGGATATGCCAATGTGATTTCTCGTGTCGAGATGAAGTCGCGAATCCAATCCGTGAGGTACTCAGGGATCTTCTCGTTTCATTCCAGACACTGCATTAGCTTTCTATGGTCGACATTGTCGAAGCCGCCTTTCACGTCCATGAAGACCGTCGAGACCTTCTTTCCCGCAAACTGCGCTTCTCTAATCCAGTGTTGTAGCGACATCACTGCATCCGCCGTGGACCTCTGTGGCAAGCTGCCGGTCTGATTGATGCAGTACATCCCGCTCTCGTAAGCTACCTTCATTAGCCTCGCATTAACTACCCTCTCGGCTATCTTAGAGAAGGTCTGCATAAGCGCAATGACCCTAAAACTTGCGCACTCCATATAGTTGCTCTTGTTCGGCTTCGGTAAGATCACCCCGATCGACTCCTGGAGCATCGGCGGGTGGATGCCCCACTCCAGCATATCCTCCACCAACGCCGGGATGATCTTCTCGTGTATCCCATGGATGCCTTTCCACACTCCATACGGGACCTGATCAGGCCCCGGTACGGATTTGTTGCTAACCTTCTTCAATGCCTCCCCAATTTCCAGTGGAGAGACCCTATCGTCCCTCTCTAGCAAATGTCTCCGCGCCTCGCACCTGCCCACCGGGTCTGGATTGGGGGGGAAGAAGTGTCTCATAATCGCTTGTTCTGCCACCTCCGGACTCCCAGCATCTCCCCCCAGGACTCTGTTCGGCACTCTCTGTTTCGTAAACTGATGCGCTGTCCACACATCATTCTTCTTTGCTGTGGCCAGGAATTTGTCCCAATACTCGCACTTCGCCACCTGAATCGCCTTCCTGTACGCCTTCTTGGCCAACCTCCATTCTTCCACCCCGGCCCCATTCTTTTCCACCCTTCTGGCCGCCGCGGTGTACACCCTTCTGAGCTCCGTGATCTCTGGCTTCCACCACGCCTTCGACCACCTCGTCGGTCTTTTCATCGGGGCCATGC